GGAACAGCTAATTCCGACTGCAGATAATACTCATTAGCTTTGAGTACTTCCGTGCTCTAAAAATGCAATTCATCAAAACCCAAGTACTTTGTGTCAGATCTGAATGTTGCACTAGAGATTTTGTAATCCAACATGTCAAACTTGTTTAAATGTGAGATTGTAACTGAAAACCAAAGGAAGCAATAAGTGCTTCATTATCTTGCTTACCTTAAGGAAGTGTCTTGCAGTTCTTGGGGGAAAAAAGAGAATAGGTGCCTTATTGCAAGAAATGCACAGCCATTCCCTACGCTGTAGGGGTATTCCCAACATCTGTATGCATTTCTTATTATCGCAGGCAGGCTGGTACTTTGGGCAGATTTATTGATGCAAGCAAAGCAGTACTGTACATTGTAGATAATTGAGCATCCTGGTCACCAGGGACTGCTTCAGTACTGGTGACTTGCTTCTTCGAGGAGGTGGCTTTGTGTTTGCAAATGTTTTAGCAGAAAAAAGCCAAGGTGCAAATGCGTCCTGAAAAAGCAGTCTTTGAGGGTATGTTTGCTCATCTGTTGTGGGTAACAGATGGGTGAGTGGTGCTTTAGTTTGCCTGAAGATGCTATAGTAAGGCTGATGAATTTCTACCAAATGCCATTGGAGGGCTCCAGTGTGAGTTTCACTTTGCTCCTCTCCCTCAGCTCTACCACCGAATGGTTTTCTAGTTTGCATCCATTGCAGATAAAGGAGTCTGTTTATTTGCTAGATTCATGTTGATAAAACTGCCTGACTTGACTGAACACATACCTCGAGAAGCCTGATTTGTTCAACTTTTCTCAGAGGTTGGAGTGTGTAGGAGCACATGGGTGCAGTGAACAGAGACAGCCACCGTTCTCATAAAGCAACGCAAAGCCCTGCGTGTGTGTGCAAACATTCGTGCTTACACTCTGAAAGCTTTTCGAAGCTACCATCTCTGTCCAGGATTTGCACCAGTGCAGATGTGGGTAGCTGAAATCTGCCGTGTAAACCTTTCTACCTTGCATATGGCAGCCTACACAGCTGCCAAAACATGCATCCTCTTGTTTTAAAAATAAAGTGGGGTGTTCTCCATACATCTGCTCCTGCCCTGTGTTTTGCTGCAGCTTTGCCAGGGTATTATCAGAAAATGGCCTGACTAAGCCCAGCCATAACAAAGGGAAAAAAATTCCATGTTTGATGTAAGTGCAGTTGTGGCTGTATTCCAGTCACTTCTTAATTTATATCTCAAATTCAGTTTATCTTCATGCCCTGGTGACTAAACAAAAGAGCTGTATGCACTTGACTGTTTGAAGAAGCTGTCTCTGGGTGTGAGGAAAAAGGGAAAAATGATTTAGGAGTGGGGGTGGATTCAGAATGCTCAGCATATGGCACAGTCTCAGTTGCTGTAAATGAAGCACAGTCGGCATTTCAATTTGTTTCTATGTTTATTATATATATATATATATACATATATATATATATATATAATTTTACTCTTTGAATGGTCTTGAATATTATTTTTCCTTCTGCAACAAGGATCCAACCATGGGAAGGGAAACCTTTGTTGGCTACGATTAACAAAAACACTTAAGACCAAAGGCAAATTTGGGATATTTAAAGAGCTGTGCCAAACCAAATTGAATGTACCTCATGTGCTGGCATCACTGGTGTCATTGGTGTTGGTGGTCATTAAATTTGGGATGTAGACTCTCTGCCATATCTTCTTGAAGTGGTTTATCTGTTTTTCCCCCCCCAGGTCCATGCCCCATCTCATCCCCCTCACTGGTATCCCCTCATTTTAGCTCAGCTGTTGTTAAAGAGAAGTTTGTGCCTGTAAATTTCTGGTGTAAAGGTTCTGGACTGCTCCAGGCAAAGCATAGCCGCAGATGTGCTGCCCAGCTGCTCCAGTTTGGTTCGTGGAGCTCTTTTCTTCTCTGAGATTGAGCACAGCTCCCCAGCATGCAGCATCCTCCTCCTTGCATCCTCGTTCAGGAAGGTCTGCATGAAGGTATGAGAAAAAAAATAATCCTTTGCTTTCTTCTGTATCTTGAAAGCAACTGGCTTGCATATTGAACTGTGAGGAGGTTTTTCCACTGTGATAACCAGACGTTGTTTTCTGGGTGGCTTTTCTACTAACATAGAGCATAGCCAAAGATTTCAGAGTTCTTGGGGTCCCTGGACCAAATTTGAAATGAATCTGATTGGATTTTTTGTTTTGTTTTTATTTGGAAAACTGTGGGTGTTTCTAATCTTTGTCTGGTGTTTGCTTGAGTCTTTGGGTCCGTTGGAATCCAAAGCCAAGAGGGTTCATGCAATATGTTGTGACCCAAAACTGTTTAATCTCAGTTCCGCGGTCTCAGAGTCTGCAGCCCAACCTGAGTACCTGATGAGTATCAGCTGAGCAAGCATTGCAGGGGCTGACTTCTGTCCATGAACCATAAAGCTTTTCCCCAGGGAATAAGAAAGTAAATTGGCCTTTGTGCAGGAACAGCTCAAGTAGGGCTGCAGTCTCAGTGCTCTACACCAGACCCTGCGGTACGCTGCAAAGGTCTCCTGCCTTCTAAGTAAAGCCATATGGGAAAAAAAATACCAAAAAAAAAAAAAAAAAAGAAAAAGAAAGAAAATTGCTTTTCTGAGAGTGGCCGAACCAACCAATTTGTTCAAGCTATTCTTCTGGTTGACTCATTTTCAATGGGGGCTTAGGGGGGAAGTAATTTCATTGAAGACAACTTGAAAACTGCCACAAGGAGAAGGGGAAGCAATCTAAATGACTTAGAGCTCATGAAAATTAAACATTTTAAGAGTGCCAAGCATGTGAGTGGGTGAGCCCTCCAAAACTGTATAAAGCTTCATCCCGTGTTAGAACACAGTGGGTTAGAGGCAATGGCATCTGGAGAAAGAATCTCTGAATGTACCTTGGTGCTTCTGGCTGAGATCACAGTATGGTGTGGCTTTGCTGGGCTGTGATGTTGGGTACTTTTTCATGCTGGCATTTAAAGCTCACCTTCATTTTGGTGAATACCAACTTACCTAATGTCCGACTGTGACATAGGCAGTAATTTGCTTATAAAGTTGAGGTGATAGCTGGTTATCCCCCTAAGTCTGACTACGTCCAAATTGTTTTAATTTTAATGACAGGCAACACACGTGGTGCATTTTACATATTAGACCTGTTTTCCTGGTATTGATAGATTACAGAGTTAGTAGAGCAGCCCAATTGACATTGGGTAAATTAGTTCAAACAGGATTAATTTACAGCTGAGTCAGTGCAGTCTGTTTACCAGGAACCTTTAACCTTTTTGAGCATCTATTCCTTAGGTGCTCTTTCTCATGATGCTTCCTAATAGCAATGCATTTCATGCTTTTCCTTTGTGTTACTACATCTGTCATCTCAGTGGAAAGCTCATGGTGTTGTCAGAAGTGGCATGCTGTGCTCTGGATTAGGGCTGTTTAGCTTGAACGTGACAAGTTGTTTAAAAGCAGACTGCTTTATGCTTCGGATCCATTCTCCTCTCCAAAACTGTCTCTCGTAAAAATGTAAATAAAGAACTCCCAGTGCTGATACAGAGGAGCTTGGTATGGTCAGAAGAAAGGCTCAGCGATTACCCAATTGACGCTAATGCAACATAAATCTTAATTATATTGAACAAGCATCAAACTGCGAGATCTTAGGAGATGGAGTCATTAGGTAATGGCTTACAGCTACCATTTATCTTCAAACAAATTCCCTGGCCTCCTTAATGCCCTTTGTAGTCTCCTGAAGGGGTCTGAAAGGAGATGTTCTGTGTGCTCTGCCCAGTGCTCTGAAGTTGGCCCTGCAGGACGTGCTCTTCTGTCTCCTGTGCTGAGAGGAGGTCAGGATGATGCTCAGGCAGGCTGCACACCTGATGGCACCTCCATCACAACGGGGCTGTGGGCTGCTGCCAGCGGTGCTCTGGGTACGGCGTTCTCTCATTCAGCCTCCACTGAAGTTCTCTCTCTTATCAGAGACTGTTTTGTAGTCAGATGTCCATTGGCAGCAGGATCCTAGCCCTGGTTTTCAAAATACATTTTTCCTGCCTTTCCAAATCCACTTTTTTTTTACTTCTTTTTTTTTTTTTTTTTTTTTTAAGATAAAGTCTGCAAATGGAATGGAAGGCAAATCTGTCTTTGTTCTCAGCTTTCATTTCTCTCAGTGGGTGCTGTACTCATAGTTCCAAGCTTTACTTATTATTACAGATCTCCTTCTGGAAAGGAAAGGTCACAGAGAATATATTGCATGACGTAGAGGTGTGAAGGAGTAATAAATCCCTTTACATTTAAAACAGGTTTATTTTTTTTAAAAGGCAATCTTTGCTTTCTCACAGGTTTCTCACATTTGCCATCCTGAGAGCCTGAGCTCCACATGTTCACCCTTCAGTACCACACTTGCCTTTAGTTAGCTGCAAGCACCACTACCAATATACCAGGCGCTTGCTTCAAAACTCAGCCTCTTCCTCCCAGGGCTCTGTGAGGACATCCCCTGCCCCCTGGGTGCTCACAGGGGAGGCTGCTGCTGTGGAGTTTTTTTCACCTTTTCATAATGATAGGAGAAAACAGAGAGAAAGGGTAATTTCCATCAGCAGGCTGTTATGTGGGAACTCCTGACTCAGATTAGTAAGAAAAGGTTCCCATTCCTCACTTGGATCGTTGCTGTCGTGTGTGAAACTGCAGCAGCCACTTGTGTGGTGCACGGATTGCCCAGAACTGCAGCTGCACCGCAGAGCACAAATCTGTATGTAGTTTCTACAACTTTCTTCTGAGTTTTTGGAGCCCAGATCTCTCTACCACATTTCACGATGACTTCAAAAATTCCTTCCTACCTTGCCTAGGTGCATCTCTCTCCCCTTTTTCACTGTACCGATGTACTTTGTGCAGGAGGCTGGCAGCCTGTGTCTGTGGGAGGCGAAAAGAGGGGGGCAGGCGGTGCTTTGGGTGCATGGGGCAGAGCTCAGTTTGCCCATCTCTAACCCTCAGCTCTCTTTCTACAGGCCCTCCAGGGAGGCGAGGGAAGCCCGGACGGCGTGGAGAGCCTGGTAAGCACTGCAGTCACCCCCTGGTACCGATGCTGTTATGTGTCTTGTGGGCTGGCTCCTGCTCAAACCCAAGCCTGCCCAGTGGGAACCTGTATCTTTGCTAAGTGTTTTGGTTCTGCATCCCTGTCGTTTCGCTTTCTGGGGGATTTTCTTTTGTGTTGTGAATTGGGAAAGCACTGATCTTGTGTCAGCAGGAGAGCAGGGCTCTTCATGTTCTGCTCTTAGGTTTGAATGTGGTTGGAAAGGGGAGAGATGTGGACTGTGTTGCTCTTTTAAGGAGAACGGTTGCACCTTGTTGAAGGAAAGTACCCAGAAAGGCATGTCAGAGACCAACAGATGAAGTTTTATACTCCTCATCTTTTAATAGCCGTTGAATCTGAGTGAATGAATGGGGACCAGGCAGGTTTTTTCTTATCCAGGAGGCTGCTCTCTGCTGCTGTTGACTACAGTAGATAAACTACTGCGTTTTCTAAAAGCATAACTTTATGGCCAGCCATTTCTAATGTTTGGTTTTTTTTCTTTGTTTTAACTATGGGGAGAGGGAATCAGGCTGCTAGTGCTGTGGGCCAGGAGCTGGTCTCTGCGGAGGGCAGGCAGGCACTTCCATTCCTTTCATTGCTGCCATCTCACTGTGTGTTTCTGAGGCATCACAAAGCATCAGGGAATCCTTGCAGCCAGGGCAGGGATACTGCTCTCATGGTGACAATGGCAGGTCGCAGTCCGTTTCACCAAACCCCATTTTCCCAGCAGTTGGGCTGTAGGAACAGCCACCAGCTGACTTTGATTTTTATATTTGTTTTTAAGCATCAGAGCACTCTTGAAAGCCCTTAAAGGATACAGCATTCAACCAAGGGCAGCTGGCAAGGACTGCCGTGAATTTTTGTACATTTATACACATATTCATGCAAGCATTTCCAAGGTGCCTCTAGCCCTTATCAAAATTTAGCAGCACCAAATGTGAGTATGCCTTCATATTTCATCTGTCGTCTTGCTTCAGATGAGAGCTTCTGAAGGCTGCTCTGGTTATGCCACAGCACATCCACAAGTGCTCTGTGAGCAGATTGGCACAAGGGTGGAGTCCCTGAGTCCTGCTTGTCCCAGTGCCCTCAGGGCAGTTGTGAGGATAACTCCTTGATGAACTCCAAGCAAATGTGGAAGGCAGAGTGATTTGTATCATCAACACTGCTGTGGGGTTGTGGTTTCTGAAGGTTTTAACATCATGTTGCAGCTGTCCATGCATCCCATTGGAGAAGCAGAAAGCTGCTGGTGAATCAACACAGGACCAACAGGAAAGTTATAAGAAGTTATAACATATTAAAAAAACCAATAGTTACTAATAACATGCATCTTTTCTCAAGTTTTATGCAACTGAGAAGAAAATCAAGAGGAGTGAGGTGTTGGAGAAGGAAGAGCCACAGAGCACATGCTGGCAACGGGCCTTGGAGCTGATTTCCTCTGCAGCACTAGGCTGGCAGCAGCAAACACCTGTGTGCACCAACACACACACACTCGATGGGGCAAAGCAGTTAAATCTGTGTAATGCAGGGCAGCCCCGAGGCCTGCTCTGCTCTGCTGCAGATAGAAACGTGGAGAGCAGACTTCCCTCCGTATGTTGCTTTTGGCTGAGCTGCCAGATGTTTGTTTTCATAGATAGCTTGAATATATATTTCTATATTTGAGAACCTGACCACACATAAACCAGGTGCTTGTTCCTTCGCTGCAGCTGATAAATGTGAATAAAAAGCTGTTTGCCTAGCATGATAGCATCCATCCCCAGGGGCCAGATGTGGTTATGGTCTTACAGCCTGCAGACACTGTTGTCAAGCCAGGAGACGCAGTGCTGGTTCCAGCCCTGCCAAAGGGAGAGCTTTTCCTGGCAGTTCTTAAAATGGTAACATTGAAAACACCTTTCTGATTCATGTTGAAACTTTCAATCTGTATCTCTTATAAACAAGCAGAGAAACCTTGAAGAGATCATCCTGTCCCTTTTCAATCGCACTCTTCTGTTGATTTAAACCAAGACTCAATTTTACTTTTTTCTTTGGCTCTGATGGATTCGGATCATAAAGAAAATTAACCTAACAGCTCTCCGTTTCTCTAAGAATTCATCATCTTGAAAGCACGCTGAGGCAACTGCTGTGCCACAGGAAGGCGCTGTAAGAGATGAGCTTTAAACCAACTCTGAAAAAAAGTGAACCGTTTGGATTTCGAAACGGGGCAGACGTGTCACACGCTCTTCAAGAAGGGTGTGAAAACATTGGGGTAAACCACTGGCGGTGGCTTGAGCATCGTGATCCCTTCACCTCCTCGCCCACCATAAATGTGAAGCTCAGATATTCAGGGAGCGATCCTGCGGCTGTCAGCCCTGCTAAACAAACTCAGAGTTATGGAGGCGAGCGGTGCTGTCTGACCCGCGGTATTTACGCGAGCGGCCATCTGGCCCTGGGAATCTCCACTGCAGCTCCCGCAGGGACCGGCTGATGCCACGGGGCACGTGTGCATCTTGGAGCAGCACAACGTGGTCCTGGCTGTCTTTGTTCTGCTACAGCACAGCCCCAGATCCATGGAATGGGGCTGATTGCTGCACGCCAGCTGCTGCTTGTCCATTGGAAATAAAGCGTGGCATGGAAGGTCTTTGTGCATCTGTCCTCAGGAAGTGTTGGTGCATGAAAAGAAAGATGCATTTTCATTAATGCAACCTTATGTGCAGTTTGCAGCCTTTTACAAGAAAAATGTGGAAGACTTTGAACCTTTTGCTGCTGTGGTTATTCCAGACAGCAAGCCTGCACATCTGAGATACAGTTTTCTTCCCATGCTAAACTCACCTTCAGTGATGTCTTCATTTGAAGTAAGAGCTGGATCTGGACATTTTCTGGATGCAAGCCTCTGATTCTGACAGCAGTAGCGTGGCTGCTTTGGGCACAGGAATTGCCCATGTGGGTATGCCTGGAGAGGGGCTGTTATTTGACAAAGTGCTATTTCATTGAGAAGCGTGGATAAAAGCTGCTGTCTCTGGCGGCAAGTTTTGTTTACAGGAATTTTGTGCTTCAAAAACACTTCTAGGGAAAAGGTTTTGAAATTTTGAAATGAGATAAAACAGCCTTCACCCCCACCCTCCCTTGTTTCCAAATTTACATTTCACTGCAGTTGTTTCTTTAGCTTGAACTTCTACCAAGGTTTTGGTTCAAAGTTTTGTTTTTTTTTTTAATATTTTGTTACATCCCTTCTGTTTACAGAAATATCCCAGTTTGGAATAGGGAAGAATCTAAGGCTCTTTTTAATGAAGAGTAAAGCAATTTCTGCACGGAGAAGCATTCTTCCTCTCTCAGCCCTACACATACTTACCGCCCATGTTTTACCCATTAAGGCACTTCCAAGCCCCTTGGCCCTACATGTGCACACATACAGCCCTACGTGTGCAGTTATTCAAGCAGTGTATGCATGAATCATGCAGAGCTTGGGTTTTATTTGGGAATCTTCAGTGCTCTCTGTGTTTTACCATCATCAGTTTGTGCACAGCCCATTGTAGGTGAGGACTGTGTTGGTATCTACTGAGCTTTAGGAGAAGCAACATCAGTCCTACTTATTTATGCTCTAGGACATCTTCCCACTGTAGCTTTTATCCCTGGTTTGGTTTCCCTGCTGTCATGGCAGGAAGGACTCCATGATAAATGATTAAACAGAAATGGTTGCTTATCCCCAAATTCCCAAGCCGCGAAAATATGCGGAAGCAATTGTCTGTGACCTGTCACTTCCCTTATGTCTGTGTGCTGCCATGAATGAGACCGTGCTGGGTCTTAGACTGACATGAACGTTATTTCGTATACCCAGTCAGGAAATTTGGGTCACTTACCTGTAATAGGCTTCTCCACCTCCCTCGAGTGCAACTGTTGAGCTTCCTGAGGAATCTCATGGTGTATCTGAGTATCTCCGTGCCCTTGCAGATTCAGATACCAGCTGGTCCCTCACCCATCGCAGTGATGTTTGCTGCCGATCGCAGAAACCGATGGCAGACAAATTCCGTGCACACGCGGGTTATTCTGTCTTCCTCCTTCTGAAGTGAGCTCCCAAGTTAATTTGTTATCCTGTTTGAAAGTTACAAAGTCTGTTTCCAGCTCTTTGTTCGTTACAAGAATTTCCAGTTCGTTCTTCAACGTGCCCAAATCTCGAGGGTGGCTGGGGAGGAGGCAGCCCCTCGGCACAGGCTGAGCTCCTGCTTATTGCTGCCTTGCAGGATACTCGACTTGCTTCTATAGGAGACAAGGATCTTGTGGCCAGACTCTTAAAGAACATGATCCGTAAGCCAGAGCATCATGCTGTTCTGAGGGAGAAAAGATTGGTTCTATAGGTTTAAATGTATGCCTTAATGAGTATTTATTGGCCGAAAGTGCCAATAAACTCCATGGGTGTCAGTTGTGAGCATTCTATGTGGCACATAGAGGAGGCCCCTAGCTTTGATTCTGGTAGCTGAGAAGAACTTTTAAAGAGCACTTCCCTTTACGTGTGGGGAGAAAACAGTAGCTGGAAAAGGCAATGGATCCCAAGGAGATTATAATTGGTAGGGGATTGAAATCCCATATTAAAATAATTTCCTGGCTGATTCTGATTCAAGACTTAGATTCTACTTTTCTACATGAGCCTTTTGTGGGTAAGTTGGTATATGAGTTAATAAATCAGGTTTACGATTCTCAGTTCATACATTGGCTTAGATCCACTGGCTTCTGTGTACAGAAGAAACTAAACCAACACTAATAGCCTGAGTGAATTTTAGCACTAAGAAAAATTGAATTCTAGGTGGGGGGAAGATTTGGAGCTGGCACTTGGCAGTGGCTGTGTGTGGGGCTGGCCACGTTCAGCTGACAAGCACAGGTTAATGGGCTGAGTTTTGGCAGCAGGCACTTTGGTCTCAGCCCTTATTCTTCAGCTTTTGGGGGTTTTGTTATTAAACTTTTCAACATAAGATTTTTTAAACAAACTTTAAAAACCTCGAAGATGCGTTAGTTTGAAATATGCTTCTCATTGTATTTCATAGAATAATACACAATGAGGAAAGCTAATTATTTTTTTTTCTCTGTTTTAATTTTTCCCACATTATTTTTTCTTTTTTTCTTTTTTAATTGTGATTTGTTTCTGGTTTGGATCAGCCAGGAAATGGAGCATGAAGGAGCCCAAACCAGCAAGCTTTGGGACGCCTTGCAAGTGGAAGTGAACATGGATTGCATTAGAGCAGGGGCTCAGGGTTCACCTCCGGGTAGCACCAACCAGGGCAAATGCTGGGAAATCAGCAGAAATCAGCAGGGCACGTGGCAGAGACCCTGCCCTGCAGGGGAGCACCGTTCTCTGTGATTATTTATTACTGTTTATTAACTACCGTTAAACACAGCTTCAGCCAGTGATACTGCTATCCAAAACCTATTGTAGATTTGTGGGATTGCTGCATCCCTCTGGCCTTGAGGGCAGCCATATCGCTGTGCTGCTACTGTGGCAAAGATGACTTTTGAAATTTCTTCTCCAGTTTCTCTTCCATAGTAACGTGGAGCTCCATGGTGAAGATACCCTTCTTATTCTGGAGCTCCAGCTGTGCTGAGGGGCTCTGCTGGCCATGCTCCATGGTTGCATGGGATGCCCAGGCAGTGAATGTGGGTGATGCCTTGTGCTGTACTTGGGGTCTTGTGCAGAGAAAGATGATGGAGTCACACTGGGAACAAAGGTGTAAAAAATGTGATTTTACGCCCGCCATGAATGCTGGCAGGGCAACAACATGCCTGACGTGGGAGAACGAGGGTAGCATCAAGTTTATCTGGGAAGTCATCGTGCTGGAATTGAACTGAGAAGTAATGTAACCCTGATATTTTTTTTTTAGGTTATGCTTCATCTTCGTGATTAAGTGACTTTTTTCTTTGTTTTTCTTTTGTTTTCCAGGACCTGCAGTAAGTATCGTGGATTTTACTGTTGGATCGACTAAGTTAAGGCTTTCTCCTTCCCCCTCCCCTTCCTTTCTGTGTCATTGCAAAAGCACAGCATTTTTTGGTAGAGGTGTGTCTGGAAGGAAAATTGGTACCAGATGCTGCTGTATTTTTTTCACAATTGTAGACAAATGGTGTGGGGGGAGTTCTAAAACGTTTAACTTGCTGCCCTCGGGGACTTCCAGTAATTTTAAACCCAGCAAATATTCAGAAGGAAGAAAAAAAAAAGAAAGATTTCCCTTTAGAGTTTCTTTACTCAGCTTCTACTGAGCCCGAAGAGCACTATACTAATATTTTAATGTTTTGGTGGGATTTTTAGTTCCAAAGCTCTGCCTTGCTTTTCTTATCTGTTGTGTTTCCATCACTTAACATGGGTTTGGTAGCCTTGCAACGGGGACTGGAGGGAAAGATGCAGCTTGCTTGCTTCTCTTTGAAGTCCTGGGGAGAATAATGAGCATTCCTCCCAGTGCAACCAGAAAATTTATGGGGAATTTGTTGTTTGAAGGGGTAATAGTTGAAAATGTGTCAACTCCTCTTTCCAAATGTTAGACGTGCCTTTCGCTGTGCCACCGCCACTTTCAAATCTGAGGTTACCCTGCTGCTTTTGGAGCAAGAAAAGAACATTCCATTGGGCCCTCCTCGCTGCCGAGGGGTTTTTAAAAAGGATTTATGGGTGTTAGGTGCTTCTGTTTTCTTTCTTTCTTCCCCCAGTGCAGGAGGAGAGGCACAGGCTGTTGGCAGCCATGTGTTTCCCTGTCCATGGTTGCATTAACAGAGACGTTTCTTCACATTGCTCTCATCTCACAGGGCCTCACAGGGTTGGAAAGGGGTCATTTCAGGGAAAATAGCTTGGCTAGCAATTCTTGGGCTAATTAATTTCCAGTTCTGTCCATCTACCTGAAGGCCAAAAGGTGACGAGGAGTTGCACGTGGAGCGTGGGAGCTGTCGCAGCGCTGTGGCTTTGGTTCTCCTGGGATGGACCACGCTGCTGATGGCTTTGGTTAATGGCATTCAGCCGTTGGAAATTTCACTTCTATTTCAAGTTTGTTTTTTAGCCCGAAGAGGGGATTGGGTAAAGTTATTATTGGGCCACGTTTCGAAGGAGCAAATTAGGAAAATTTAAGGCTTAATGGCTTTGACTTGACTGTTCTCAGAGGAGATCTGAACACATTGACTCTAAGTGTCGTGCCAAACATTAGCCGTAAATCCCAGATACTGGCTGGCTCGAGAAAGGCAAACAGATGAATTTTCCTTGTCAGTTTGTGTTCAGAAGTTTAGTCTGACCATGAAATCATTTTCCTGTAAATATTCTGTAATTGAAAACCGCAACACGGCCTCTCTGCCCACACCACAAAAACGATGGGTTTTGGAGATGTTTATGATGGTGTGAAAGGGGCAAGTGCCATCTGAAGGGATCGGCAGAGCCCAGCGTGGATGCGCAGTGCTCAGGGTGCTGGAGCTGAACTCCACTGATATGTCTTTAAGGGACTTTTTCTCTTAATCCAAGTACTTTGGCTTTTAAAGGGGTTGATTTAACCGCTTCTGCACCTGCCATCAGCCCACACGCAGCCAGCCGCGTTGCGCTGCCTCACGTGTGCTGCATGGCGCGCCGTTCGGCAGAGGCAACATATGGAGCACTCTGAGTTTTGCTTTGTTTCTCCTTGCTTTCATTTCCTGGTTCCCACGGCACTACTGAAGTGCAGGCGGAGTGCAGGGGAGATGGAACACAAACAAGGCATTTTTCTCTCCCTTTGCCCTTCCAGAGACGACTCCTGGTTTAGTTCGTTTCAAAAGTAATAATCTTGCAATTTTTAGCTCAAGTAGCATTTTTTCAGAGATTTCTTTAAACATTGTAATAAAAGTCCTAGAACCCACAGAACCACAATATTATTTTATTTCAGCAGCACTGCATTTAGTTCTATTGGTTTCTTCTGTTTCTTGATTTTGGCCATAAGGAATCGATTACATCTTACATGTACAGCATCGCACTGCTGAGGCTGTATCCTCAGTTCTGTTGTTCCCTAGTAGCAGTTGTTCTGGCATTTCATTTTTTGGCTGTCGTAAGCTAGTTGTGTGTACAAAATTATTAGAATTTGTGGTGCAGGATTTGTGGCTGTTGGATGATTGATTGTCCTGTCTTGTGAGTGAGGGGGATTCTGCTCTGCTGTGCTGTAAAACCTCTGTTTCAGAGGGTATTAAAATCACATGCTGGGTAGGAAATTTCTGCCATTGAAGGATAGACTTGCCACATGCATAATTAAACATTTACAGTCTCAGATATTAGCAGACACTTTATGTATTAGCATGCTGACTGGGGAGCTCACCAGCAAGCGAGTTTACAAGTGTTTCCTATTTGTGCGTGTGCTCCAGTGCCATACATCTCTATAAAGACCTCACTGTATGCTTTATCCCAAGGCTGCAATTTGTTAAATAGGTGGTTGTGGAAGCCAGTGTTGTTTCTGGATGAACCAAGAGTGCTGCAGGAGGCATTTGGAGCTGCAGGAGCACTTAGCAAGAAGTGAAAACCATTGTAATGGATAGGAACGGGCTGCCAGAGCTGCTCGTGCTGTAGGAAACGTGTGGAGCTCGCTGCATATCTGAGGCATGCTGACATAATCTATGTTTATAGTAGCATATGACACTGCTGTAGCAGACACATGCCTTACTGCCTGCCTGTGTACCAGCTAATGCTTAACAGCTCCTTCCTGGGAATCTTCCTCGTGTCTGGCTTACAGCAGTCCCTCACTGTGCCACTGGCTCAGCTGGAGCTGTAAATGCCTTTGGGAAAGCAGAAAGGGTGAAGTCCTCTGGTTGAGTTGGGGTTTTCTCTGCTGATCCTACAGGTATTGTTAATGACTTAAGGTCTTTCCCCATAGCATCCACTGCTTTCCACTTCACTGCAAACAGAAGCGAGGTGTAGAGGTGAGCTGGGGGAATCTCAACCTCAAGGAGAGTAATGGATTTGGAAGGGGAAACCTGCACAGGATCAGGTGCCAGGGTAGTTCAGTGCTCAGCAATCACCAACAAAACCTCTCTCTGGTTTTGGGATGGGGCTATGGGTATGTGGCTGGGACTCTATTGTGTGCTTCATGGGCAGCAGGGATGGGAGCAAGCTGGCCAAGCCTTCGGTAAGTAGCTCAAGTAAGGCATGAGGTCAAACTCTGGGGAAAATTGGCTCTAGGCATGACGTTCTTGGGGAAGAAAATTACCCCAAGAGGTTTCTATGGAGGAGTTTGGTCCTAGGGCCAGTGGGGGAGCTGACAGCCCCTGCCCTGCCTGCTGCTATGAGCATTGACTGACCTGATATCTCGCTTGTTCCCCACCACAGGGGCAGTCAGGACGCGATGGTTACCCGGTAACTCCGCTATTCCTTTTGTTTTAATTCTCTTTTGATCTGCACCCTGTCATTCTTTCTGTCTTTGCCATGACACTTGATTTTCTTTGCGTGTCTTGATCTTTTTTTTTTTTTTTTTTTTTTTTTTTTCTCCTTTTTTCTGCACTCTTTGTCAGTGATGGCTTTTAGAGAGATTTGGCCCAAAATCTCAGGAGCCTTTGCAGTGTTCTCTGTTGTTTACAGAGCAAAAGGCTTGAAGTCTTTCATGGTATTACAGAACACTCTTGTGGTATTTGTTATTGCACTCCTGCCTGTTTGCTTTTTTCTCAAGAAGACTGCTAGGAAAACTTGTTCCTTGTTACTGCCACCTCATGCCCTGTCCTGATACCCCTGAGCAGCTGTTAAACGAAACCAATATCTGTTGGATTTTGTGCGTGTGATGGATGGAGAGCTTGAGGAAGGAGGGCTGGAAGGAAAACAAAGCTGATTTCAGTTTCCATTTTCCCCTCCCCGAGGAAGACAGGAACCTTTCTCCAGCAGGCCCAGAGGAGGAGAGGTACACGCAGGTGTGTTAATTTTGCAGAATGAGCAGGAGGACTTTGCAGCAGGCTGGGGCACTGTTGCTTCGGATGGCTCCATCTTCCCCTGGCAGCCATGTTGGAGGCTTGTCATGTCTGTGGGACCTCAGCAGAGCAAGGAGGGCACAGAAACACACGAGTGGAGGTTCAGAGCTGAGCTCGAGATGGGAGACTTTGCTCTAGTTGACCTATGCAATTGTAGTTTTGCGGTGGCTTCCTGCTCTTGCAGGATGTGGCTAACCACTGATGAACAAGCAGTACCCTTGGCTGTGGGCAGGTTTGTCCTCATCTTTATGCTGATGTTATTCTGGCAAAGCGTGTGCCTGCAGTTAGTCGTGGAGTCATGAACATCAGAAATGCTGAGATGAAATAGCAGATTTTCCCTAGCACAGAGCATGCCCCCCAGCCTGCCTGGCAGCCAGCCCCAGCCTTGTGTTGACTCCAGGTCCCGGTGAGGGATTCTGCTGCTGCCCCAGGGCCGGCAGCCACTTCCAGCTCTGCTGCTACATTTGCACTGGGAGAACAGCATTATATCCTTGGAAGGTATTTGCTCCTGTCTCCTTGCTTCCTGGGACCTCTGTTGCGGCGCTACCGGTTTTATTCTGGGCCTTGCAAAATGGTGAGCCAAACACAGTGAACAGTGAATTGCTGGCCTGTGGCTATGCTAAGTAGCTTTATCTAATAAGGAGGTGATAATAATTGTATTTTCAAGGTGTATATGTGGAGGACAAAACAGCATAAATCAGAATTGAGAGTAATTCAGTAGAAGCATGTGGAGAGCCTTTATTACATCCAGGTGCTTGGGCAAACTGATGTAATTATTTAGTTTCCTTCTGGCTGATGAAATGAACTCTGAGCAGGTAAAATTTGAAGGTATATGTAGGCCTCGTCTGGCTGTGATTGCACCTGTACAACAGTGCAGGGCTGGTGGTGGAGGTGAACTGTGTCACAGTGGAGGGTGCACAGGGCTCAGTGGATGTCCTTGTTGGGAGAGCACCATGCTGGGGGCACTGCTGGGGATGGGGCTGGTGGGGAAGGCTGGGCTCTGGCATGGCCACAGATGGCTCTAACGTAGGAAACCTCAGTTGAGCCTTGAGCCCAGTGAGTAGATGCTTTCATAGAATCATGTGGGAATATTGTGCCATCATCTTGGCACCTTCTGATCATTTCTGAAAGTTTTTTTCCCTCTCCCATGCTTTTTGCAGTTCCTTAACAAAATTGCATGAAACTTTGGCTACGGGCAAGTGCAGAAGTAGTGGTGAGTGGAAATGAAATAGTGTTTGGCACCAGAGATGGATGTGGTAACGCTTCCACCTCTTGGATAACAGTTCTTTGATTTTATTTGCAAGTTGCTAGCATTTGAGCAAGGTGCTGAGTGCAAAAGGGAGAGCAGATAGGCTCTCAGGAGGGCTTGAGCCAGTCTGTCAGCTCAGCTGGGCTTTGAGACTCTTAACAGTTAAGCATGAGCCAACAACAACGTGTGTTACCCTAAGTCCCTTCTGGTTTTGAGTGTTGGAATTAAATGAAGTGGAAATAGAGCACGAGCTCTCTGCGGTCGCAGGCTCAAAGTTCAGTAGCTCAAGTTGTTTCTTCTGGTGAGCTGGGACACATTAGCCAGGCACAATCCTGGACAGGAGAAGCCTTCAATGTGCATTAGTGCAGCTACGTGGTGTGGGCTGCATGGAGGGCATGGGAGAGGAGCAACTTCCAGGGCCGTTTTATGTCTCTGGCTATGATGCTCAGCTCCTATTTCACTGTGCCAGCAGTTGCCCTGCTCAGGAATATGTCCAGAATGATGGGGACAGCACTGGGGCTTCAGCTGCACCCACTTTGCGCACAATTGGGTGCTGAGCTCTCCCTGCTGCTCTGGAGGGTGTTGCAGAGCACGGCTGCGGGCAGGACAGCCACTCCTGCTGGTTTGCCTGCATTGTTTCGCTCCGGCACTCCCCTCACCAGCTGTTCTGAAGAGATGCCAGCAGCTTTGTATCAGATTGATGAGGATAATTTGGATGACGCTTTTGGTGTTTGCCAGGAGTGCCCACCCCAAACTTACGTACAGACCCAGAGTCGATTTTGGGTTTTTCCACAGCTGTACTGGAGCAGAGGAAAAGCAGATGTGCACTGCCCCCACACTCTGCTCTGTGCCTGAGCAGGGACCTGTGCTTATCTCACCGTAGGGTCGGTGCGTTGGCACTGGGGGTCATTCATCCTTGTAAAGCCAAGAAGGGAAGAGAGGGGTGGGCTTTGCAAAGGGGTGCATCTGGCTGCCTATGCTAGTGATGTAGACTGCTGTGTTTGGAAAACAGAGACATGAAGACCTGATGGATAGTCTGCTTCCAGTACAGCTCTTCCAAGTGACCTTCTGATGCAGGCAGATCTTCCCATCATGAGATTGTTTAATAGAATCAGATCATCTATGGACGAGAGAAGTGATGGCTGGGAGGTGCCTTCAGCAGCCTGTGCTCATTCCATCCTCCTGCCCCATGTGGGGATGGTTTTCTCCTTGCCTTCAAACCACTCAGCTCTCCTCCTACACAATATTTCTCCTCTTTCCCAGTGAGATGTCATATTTACTGTTCACCAGAAACCATTTCCTTCCCTCTTCCCATCCATCAGAGAGCCTTCTGGAGCCCAACTCTGCTGAAGAGTTTCATCTGCCTCTGCTAACTCATTCCTCCCCAAAGTTGGTCTCCACAACACCACCTAAACGTGACATCCCCAATGGAGAGTTGTCACTTCAAGTGGGAAGAAACCAAAGGAATTAAGTTGATTAATGAGGTGAATTACTTTATGTGCGTGTCTTCATTAATAAAAAGCAGAGCAGGGAATAGGCTTTACAGAAGAAGTGTGATAGGAAACAGAGTTGTCTCTTACTTTATACATTTTCCTTGGAATACTAGCATCTATTTTTAGTTGATCAGAGTGTTACTCATTTGTTTCTTCCAGCGTATAATGTTTGCCTTTGAATTTTGTAAATCATTAATGCGTGTTGCCTGAAAGAGCTTTGGCATTGCTCTGCCCATCTCTTGCAGTGATGGCAGCTCATCAGGGTTGTGGGGGAGGAGAGGGATTCCAGTTCTGCCTGCTGAGAAATCACGCACCTTCTTACTCAAAGTAATTCACTATCCAGTGATACCATCCTTGTCTGCTGATTGATAACTACGCCAACAAGATGAGTAAGCAGAGTTCTGGTAAAGGACAGTGAGTTGTTGGTTGTTTTTAATTACATGCTTTGCAACAGGGGGCTTTTGAACCCTCACTGCATCCTGGCACTTTGTGCTGGGTGAACTTTGAGATTAACACAGACTTTGCTCTATGCTGATGCACCTTGCAGGGAGTAACTGCTAAGTCAAAACTGAGATATTCTTGCACAGGATATTCTCATCTTGGTTTAAGTTGCAGTTGGAGCTAAGTGGCTCAGCATCTTCTGAAACGCTTTTTGGGGAGCTCTGCATAGTGAGCTAAGCACTCAACTGTAGTGCTTGGAGCCAGAAATGAACTTGTAAGGATGACAACCTCTGGTCTTAATTAATTTTCAAGGCAAAAAGTGAAGCCAAATGTTATTTCTGAGCTGATGTCTGGGAGCAGGGCTGGGGGAGCGCTTGCAGAAGGGAAGCTGGCTCCGTATCTCCCAGGACTGCAGCATGGCAGTGCTTTGGTGGCAGCCCCAGACCTTGGCTTCTACTAGTTGAGTTTGGGGTTTCCTCCAGCGAGCAATTAGGAGTTTCAATTAATGTAAATAACTCAGCAGGGGAAAGTCCATGTAAGCTGTTTGTGTGCAACCCATAAACGTGCTTTGAACGCAGGCGAGAAATGAGGAACACGTGCCAAAGCCAACTGCTTGTGGCAGTTCCTCCGTTCTGTCGTGGTCCCTTCGAGTTTACCAAAAAGCTCCAGAGTGTGGATTTAGCCAAGTGTGTTTGGGAACAGCAGTTTAACACTTCAGGAAGACTGCCAGGGGTGGGAGACCATGCTACGTGGTCAGATCCCATGGGTGTAGGAACGAGTGTGTGGATCTCATACTTCTCTTGTGTTGGTTTTTTGTTTGTTTGTTTGTTTAATTTTGTTTTGTTTTTACAATAGGCAGATGGTTTCCAGACCCAGAGTGGTAGCTTGTGTACAGACGTGGAGCTCCTGTATGTTCCATGGGTATTTGGGGTAGTTGTGAATGCCCATATAAAATAACATCATATTTAATGTCTGGCATTGCTAGATATCTCCTAGAACAGTGTTGTGTAATTGGTGTCCATCTCCAAAATGAAGGTTGCCATCAACAAGTTGACTTTTTTGCTTCCTTGGCTAGGTTCGTCAAGTTCATAACTGTTGAACTGTAGTCATTATTCTTAATTGCAGGCTTCAGTCCTATGTTTGTTCTCACGGGCCTCTTTATTCATAAATATTCAAATTTCAGGGTTATCTCCTGTGAATTAAGTCATTTGCGCA